TGCCCTTGAAATATTTATAATTCACCTGGCTGTGGTCACACCTTCAATAATTAGCCTCATAACATCTTGTATCAGTCTCTAGTTCACTGTTATCTATGGAGCATAAGATCTTTACTGCGGTTATATTGGCTTTATCTACCACACTTATCTTTGTCTGGCTCAGGGAAGAACACAGCAGATGCTTAGACTGTCAATGATTGATAACTGCAGAAATGTTGACAAGACAACTAAATGGGTCACTTGAAAACTTGGGAGCTTAGTGCAAGTAACCACAAGTCGCTACTGTGCTCTCTTTTTTGTGTTAGCCTGCACTACCTGTGTGAAAAAAGGAGATGGATAGGTCGGCTGCAGGGTATATTGCGTCAAAGTATCTTAAGGTGTCCTATTTAAAATTAGGTCATTGGAATGTATTGAACTCAAACTTGAATCACAATAATTTATCAAGTGTAATTTATTTATTTGCAATAAAATATTTGTGATCGTTTTATAAAGTTATTACATTTGATTTATGCCATACATTGCACATGATCATTTCTACTAACACAAAAATATATGCAGGATTTATCAAGCCAGTTAGTAATATGAAAGATGAACTGACACCATTGTTTGCACAGGTCTGCTCAAACATCCAATGTCAGCCTGTATTATGTCATGTAAATTGTGTCAGTGTACAGGCACTCCATAAAGATCAATGGAGGGTAAATAAAACAGCTTACATAAGGATTTGCATTTATTAAAATACCAATAGTAAAAACCAGATAATTGTTTACTTAACTTAAAGGTGGTTGAGGGTCCATCACCTACTTGTCTCCATGGGGAGGATTTTGCTTTGCCCGGAATATTTCATATTAAACTAATATATCTCTATGGAGACAAGCAGATGATGCCAAGATACAGATCAGATCTAAGGAGAGGAGACTGCTTTCAATTAAGAATCCGTATTTTCAACATATTTTGAGCCATTAAGAACTCCTCTATTTGAAGTTTAAAGGTGCATTGTGTTAGCCAGATTCATCAGCCAGTTTCACTTTGTAGAAACCGTTCGACCTCATGGCATTAAAATTTGTTCGCTTGACGGTAGGCAGGTACTTTTTTCATTTAACCAATGGCTGCTATTTGGTCGTGAAGTATGTAATGTGCCGCTAACGGGACTAACTGGCATATTAAGCTTTTCCCAAATCCCATAGGAAGACGGACAGTAATGTCTTTCCCCTTGAAAAAAAATTTACCAAACATTCTCTTTGTTCTTGCTTTAAATCCTCAATCTCGGGAATCGCGGCCAACACAGAATGTAAGGCTCTTCGCTGATTGGCTGGTGCCCGGACTTACACTTCCGGGGTTCTTGCAAACGTCTAATGTATTCTGAGTCCTGATCTATTTGCTGGAGAGAAATTAAATTCAGCAGAGGCACTAGGTGGCGCCAGCCTGACTAGCATTGTGTAACTTCTCTGCTGGAGGGTCCGTCAAATGATTTTCTTCATGGAGATGTTATTGCTTTGTCTGGAATATTTCACAGTATGGCATTAAACCTTTCTGTCTTTGTGGAGACTAAACCAGGCCAAGTTATACGTCCCAACTCACATGTCAGAAAGTATTTTTGAGCAATAAAACCGCATGTAATAGAATAAATGTAAAGTAGAATTGTTTAATGTCATACTGTGGAACATTCCAGGTGACAGACCCTCAACCGAAAACATAGTGCACCTTTAATGTCTTACTGTGGAACATTTCAGGCAAGACAATAGCATCTGTTTAAAGACAAACAGAAAAGTTACATAAATTTCCTCCTTTCTTTTGTCACATTTACAACACAAAATAATGCGGCATGACAAACTGAAATAAATGGGCCTATGTAATTTGACTAACAATGATTTCTTTATGATCGATCTACTGCAGTATGTCAAAACAACATTCCTCTGGACCTAAATAATACAGAGGAAAGGTCAATCCAGTGCTTGTGACTGTCCTGCTATGGAACATCTATATGCAACTATGTACTGTGTTGTGCAAAAGACTGAAGCTGATATGTTAACAATAGTGTAACAAAAGTAATAATGACGTATCCAGATCAGTTTTAAAAGATTTTGTACCATTTTAAGGTCCACATGTTGAAGTTTAAAGGTGCACAGAAAGAGCAACAGAAACACACTTAATGAATCAATTCGAGATGTATATGATTAAATGTTATAACATAGACCATTCTGGGCAAAGCAATTACATCTCAGAGTTTTTTTTGTTTTGTTTTTTGTTTTGCAAAGCTTCAAAAAGAATCAGATTTTTAAATATTGCTGTAAGTAAAACGATATGTCTGCATAGTGTATGTTGCAAAAGACTTTATTTTAATACTCCCTTTTCCAAACTGATATTATTTGATGCATTGAAAAACCTTTGTTCCTCTTTGTTCATAGCCTACAGATCACGTTAGAGCAGCACTACTTTATTGGATCTTATTTCTGGGTTAGGTGGATCACACAGATGATGATATAACAGTTTACTTGCAGCTGTATGGAAATGCATGTATGTACAGTAGCTCAAATACCAGCACTGTCACACCTCTCTGACAACTGGGAGGTGTTACATATAACTGACAAGTTCAAACTCATTTGGTGACCCCCACTGATGCCTCAGCCCACATTTACCAGGTCAAGGCCTTATTAGCATCTGTGCCTTAATATAATAAGCAATATATTTGTCATGATCATAATTTATATCTGTGTAATAAAGTGTAATTTATACCCCGTCCTTAAAGTCTCTACGTGAAAACCAAAGCGTACTACTGCCCGAGGAGACTTTATCTGTTACATAAAGCATGCAAACACTTTTTAAAGGTGCACGATGAAACCTTTCTGATGCTTTGCCTGGAACATTAGCATTGGCACAGGGGCTTCAGTTGGTAGAAGTCAAGTCTATGGAGAGGCATCCCCACCCTCAGAATGCGATCATGTGTTTCAGTGTTTTTTTTTTTCAACAGTAAATAATGCAAATTAATAAATGCAGGATGGAATATGTTTAATATACCTGTGAAGCATTACAAGCAAAGCATAAACATATCGATGAAAACAAGCCAGTAGCAAACCCGTCCTCCAATAGAAATGTTACATAGTGCACCTTTAAGCTTTCTCTCCTGCAATAGATTAGGTATGTGTTCTGATATAAACCAAACTGCTCTCTCAACAGAATTGTTAGTTTGTTTCAATGCATGAATCTTACCTACTATTCTGCTTTATTATTATAATTTTTTAAAATATCATATATGGGGTATAATACAGGGTGTTTTATAACTAGCACAAAATGTTAAATAAACTCCTGTTACATTTCCAGTTACTGTGTTTGAACAGTGTTTTTCAAGAAGTGATCGTTCCAAACTCAAATTAAGGTAATTCAGTTTCGGACGCGGTTAAGGTTTGGCTTGGCCGTGATCTTTTTCCATTGAATCCTGTGTCGTGCCCGATCTGTTTGACCTATTACATTTTCTGGACGGATCTTGGTTTTACTTCTTGGTTTAGCTCTGAGCAAGTTCTAGTTTAGTCCTGGTTTAGCCTTTGTTAATCCTGGGTAAATCTGTTTAATCCTGTTTTAGTCACGTTTTGGGAGAGTCTTAACATAACTATGTTCAATCTAATCACCTAGACATTCATTTTGGTGCGATGAATCTGGTGTCCCAAAGAGAGGGGCTCCGGTGTTCCCACACATAGTGCACCCTCACTGAACCGTGGTCAAACAGTTATGTGCTGTTTTCTTCTACAGGGCTTGCGGTCCTGTCACTCTCACTACAGTCGCACAACTACAATGTGCACAGAAATTCCACTCATTATCCTCCGGTCTGGAATTTCACTGCTTTCACTGTTTATTTTTCCAAGATTTTTCCATTTTCCAGCAGAAGTATGGACATCTGTTTTTGTCATTCACTTGTTGCAGTAAGCTTCTGTGTGTTAAATTTACAGAAACAGTGAGTTAAATTAAAACAATTCAGTTTTATTTTAGTGAAAAACCAAAAGTGCACAAGTTTACACCACTGATTTCACAATTAGCATTTTGAGGCCTTTGAGGCTTGGGTAGGCTGGAGGTCTGTACCTCTGCTCAATGGCATGTCTGGAAAGACTAGTTACCTCAAAACATACAGCACGTCAACACTGCCATCTAGAGGATCCTCTCCTAAATGATGAGAAAGTAAGTGACTTAATGATTTAAAGTCAAAATTACAAGTTCCCATTTAGCAATTTTGCTCAAAATAGAATAACATTTTGTTGCCACTTTGCTGTTTGTCTTGTTTTTGACGGCAGATTATGCAAAAGAACCATTAAAGCGTCAAAGGTACTTTAAACAGAATGTAAGGAAATACATGTACTGCTAATGCTGAAAGTCAGTAGCATTTGAAACTTTCAATATAGTCACCAGAAGTAACCAATACCTACTCAAGTCTGATTTATTAAAACATTAATATTACAATATACTATACACAAATATTCACTGCTGAGGTAAAATGAACTATTACCCACCACCTGAGTAACACAATATTTTGTAACATGTATTTACAAACTGACTATTCAACAGCTTATTGAGTCTATAATCTCCAATTCAGTGCCAAATGTTGAATAATTAGCCAAAAAACAAACAGAAATGCCATTTTTACTTTTTTTCCCCAGTGAACTGAGCACTTTCAGTTTTTGTTCTTCAAATCTGATTGGATCATTGGTTTCATATGATGTATACTAAGAAATTGCATTTGCATGTGACATAGCAATTGTAGAAAGGTAGAAAAGGTTACAAAGGTAATTTTCTGGACACTGTTTATTTACATGAACTTGACTAAAAGCTGAAGATGCAACACTGATGCTAAATGACTAAGTGGAGTGCGGACAATCTACTGTCCTTCTTCATACTCAGATGGAGATGACCCTCAGGACTCAAGTCTCTCACAGTTTTAACATGTGCTTTGCTTCATGTTAAAGTGTGCTCCATGTAATTCCCAGGACCATTACCAAACTCACTCAGGTGTGTTACTTGTGTGCAGAGGTCTTGTCTTCCTCATCCTCCATCTGTGTCTCAGGATTGTCTTCACCACTGGCTGACCCCTCCTTGCTCTTATCGCCCGCCCACCATGCCTTCATTTCGTTGTTGATCCGCTCCAGGATGTCGATGGAGTGGTTGATCACTAAAGCCAGCCAGGCCAGGCCGAAGAATATCCAGCAGGCTGTCATGATGCTGTACCAGTCCGGGTAATATCTCTCTGGATTATTGTCTAGAGACAGAGGACAACACAATAAATTCAACCCAAACAGCAAGTAATGTACATTTTCTCTTCTATAGGGCTTATTTGTTAGTATGGTGTGTTACCTGCTACAAAGTCTCCAAATCCAATGGTGCTGAGGGTGATGAAGCAGTAGTAGATGGCCTGTGAATATGTCCATCCTTCTTGATTTTGGAAAACTAGCATCGGCACCACAAAGAAGAGGACCACTCCACACAGGTATGATATAAAGTGGACAGAGAAGCGCACACATATCTAAAAATACATCATAAAAACAAATGTCACTGTAGAACTCAGTGTGATGCTGTGGTCTTCAGAATGTCATCACCTTTTTGCCTGATTTGCTCATTTTGGTCTCGAGAAAGTCAGAGATGTTCCTCTCTATCACAAGCATGTACTTGCCAACCCGATTAAGCACTACAATGTTGAGGGGGATGCCAAACAAAGCAAAAAATACACAGAAGATCTGCCCACCTGTGGACCTGGGACTTATGTTTCCATAACCTGCAAAACAAGTTAGTAAAATGTTAAAACACCAAGCAATGATGGTGAAGTTGACACATTTTCCAAGGTGTCTCTCCTCCTAACAATCATACATACACCGAAACTATGAAAGAAGTTTGTTATAAAATAATAATATAAAATGATCTAAAAATGTATGATTAGTTACATTTGAAGCAATTTTTTTAAACATTTGGCAACCTATTATTCTTAATTGCGATGTTTAATTGGTCTCACATAAAAGCTTTGTTTGTTTTTTTTGCCCTAGGGCTCAGTTATTCAATTGAATATCATATTTTCATGACTGACCCCCTCTTACATCTCACCTATTGTGGTGACAACAGTAGCAGCAAACACAGCGGACGAGGTGAACTTCCAGAAACCATCAGTCGTGTAGTTACTCTTCAAACTGAGGCCTACTTTTGTTGCCTCTTGGACAACCTGAAAACAAACAAAATATAAATATAGTTTAGGAAAGTATTCCTTAGTATTTATAGATTTCAGTGGGTGGGTTAAAGTCGCTTTGACTGACTTGACTTGAACAATGCAAATGTGGTGTCTGGTTGATATCATAAACTTCATGTTAATGTTATATTTTAAAATGAGATTAAAACAATGTAATCGTTTAGTGAAACATATGGATCAGTTTCAGTCCTGACCATATTATTTTGAATTATTTAATTTAGTTGATCTTTAATCATGTTTTGACATGACAGTAGGCAAAGCAGTGCAACTAGAGGAAAGGTGGTGGAAGCGAGGATTTGCATGGTACAAGATTTCTCTTTTTCTTTGTATACCAGTGCAGACTGAACTATAGGGGAAAATTAACATTTGACCAAGATAAGAACATTATTAGGACGGATACTTTATAAAAAGAAACAAAAACAACAAGTTAGGTGTGTAACTAGGTCAGTGCTGTCCACTTGAGTGATATTGTGACTTCTATTATGGTCTGAATTCAAATGTTTTGGTCAGTCAGTAAATCCCACTAGAACAACCACAATTGTGCAAACAGTGCTCCAGAGACAGTGCCTCCTGTGTTTGCATATCTGTGTTATCACAACAAAACAACTTTTTATAGCAAATGGTTCAGTTCAAGTGATGGGTGTTTCTGATGCTGCCGCTCACCTTTGCGACTTCTTGTAGGCTCTCTGGAGTCAGACAGGTGTATTTGTCTAGCAGATTTTGTTTTTGTTCAATTATATATCCAATGTCCCTTCTTCCGAGCTGTCCTTCTAGATGCCAAAAAATCACTCCACCAATCAGAACATAGGCCACATAGATTGCTCCAAGCAGGAGGATGGAGGGCACCCGGGCCAGGTTGAACATCTCCGTAAATCCCATTGTTGTCCACTAAAAACTTTTAACATTTAAGTCGAATTGAATTATTTAGTAAATACGTGTTTTCTTGCCGTCTTGGGCGTCCTGTCTTCCCATAGAACACAGGCAAATGAATCTCCACCTGAGCTACTGTTTGAATCACTAGTTTGGGCTCTCATGCAAATATACAGAGAGGCACTTGCAGAGGTGGGGCCATAGGTCAAAATCAAAGAAAAAAATATGGAAATTGTGGTTTAAGGCAATGTTTACCACATATTTGAATTTCACAAACTTGTATACTAAATTTTCATTAACTCATGTGTCTTGTGGTGATGATACCGTAGACTGTAAAGCAGGGAGGATTTAGAGATTAAAGAGATCATCGTAAGATTAAACAGAAGATCATTTATTTGCACAGTTTGTCTTTGAATACATTCAGAATAATTTTTGTATGTTCCACTACATTTCAGTCTACTCCAGAACAGCTATAGCTACGATAGTATCTTATCACCACCAAGTATTGAGTGAATGTAAAGCACTATGGGTGTCTTGAAATGCTCTGTATAAACCCAATGCATACCGTATTATTATTGTTTTTTTTTTAAATTTCACATGTCAAACCACACAACCAATCACAGTCATCAATAATAAAAATAAAAAATAAATAAAATGCTCACATTGCTTTTTGAGATTCTAGTCACAACTCAAACACTTCTCGGCATTCAGTTTGAAAAATATAGAACATTTCAAAGCTGAAAATCCAAACGTGCAGAAATTTTGTTCAGTCAGAGTCAGAAGTTAAGTGACCATGTGACATTTTGCTGCCCACTCAGCCAGATATTATCCCTCTCCAGCTGGTCCAGCGTGTCCGCTGTTTCACCTCGAAACACCATCTTGATTAATGTGTTTGTTTTAGATATCTCTTTGTGCTCAATTCACTGGAGCTTGCACCAGCCCACACCCACAAAATGGCAGCATCATAAACAAGGGATGACTGAACAACAGAAATAGGTAAATGAAAAACAAATGCACTGTAAGGTGTTCATAGAAAATGAGAAAACATTTGGAACAGAGGTAGCATTTTGGACAGTTTCTCCTCTGACATATTAGAAAAAAACACACACACATTATCTTGAATTTGTTACCACAACATAAATATTTAAAACATTGTTATTATTAATACACTGACTGTTTATTGCTTATTTATTGCCATTTGTCAAGTATGTCTCCTTTTGTTTGGACTCACACTGATTTTATGCAGCTGAAGAAGATCCTCAAAATTTTGAGTATCATTGCCCCAGCATAATATTGGTGAGTTATTTTTAAATTTCCTCTTGAGTAATGTTTCAATACTTAATGCAAAATATTATTTACACACCCACACCTACAGTGAAATTAATACTATACAGTTCTTTCATTTACAGTCCTTTTTAGATCTTGGAAATGTCTTCTAGTTTAGTTGATGACACTTCCTCATCTTCCTGCTGTCTTTTGAAACCTGGATGTGTCAGAACAACTATATATTCCATTATTCTGGCTCCCATGTTGAGAACTAGAGCGAGCCATGCCAGAGCCAAAATGATCCACACCCCAGCCAAGCTTCTGTACAGAGAGATGTACTCTTTGTGTGGGTCAGTGCCTAAAACATTAGTGAAAGAAAAAATGTAAATGTTATGTATTTTGAAAGGGAAAATGTCCTCATAATGTTGCATAACAGGAAGCTGAAAGCCATAAATAGGAAATTATGTAATGTTTTATAACTAAGCAAAAGAAGTCTTACGGCGGGACAAGATCTAAACATGAAATATGTTTTTACTAAACTTCTACAAAACAGCAAAAACAAAACTGAACTTAAAGTCTAAACCACAACTACACAGAGACTGACACAAGGACATACAGTAGTTGTACATTATTATTGGACTTCTTTTCATGGGTTTCAAAAGATGGCAATGGTCCACCATCGCCATAGTAATAAAGCAATTCACATCAAAATATTATTATGGGGGAAATATAATAGGGGAAGTCCATACAAAGCCTTCAAATCAGGAAGGCATTATTTATAATTTTACTTACCAACAACATAATCTCCGAAGCCAATGGTGCTGAGAGTAATGAAGGCAAAGTAGAAGCCCTCTCCAAATGTCCATCCTTCCACATAACTGAACAAGAGTGGAGGGATGATCAAAAACAGCAGACTGCCCGAGAGCACAAACAAGACCACTGTCAGCACCTCAACTGTCCGCTAGGAAACAAACAAAAACAACATGTCACAAATGGCATTCATAACAGAGATTTAATGATAATAGGAGATGCTCAAACACCAAAATTGTTGGATGATTCATTGTAATTTAAACCATGTTTGAATTAAATTTTCTTTAAGATGTGTAAATATAATGCATGGCTATAATATTCATTTTTTTTGCAGTCATAAGGTGGAGGTTTTAATATAAGCCCTTTTGGATTTGTTACCTCTTCCAGCAACTACTTCTATCTAGTGTGCCCTTTTTATTGTTATATGTTGTTTAAAGTACAAAATAAAGAAAATTGAAAAACAAAACCTTGTGTGGGACGACTGAGACCATTCCCTTCTCCATTCGACCTAAATGGATGATGAGGCACTTCCCCAGCTGTTTGAGGAAGGCCAGGTTCAGGGGGATCCCAAAGAGGGCATAAAATACACAGAACACCTGCCCACACACTGTGCTGGGGGACAAGTTCCCATAGCCTGGTAGGAATAACAATATTGTGAGGTAAATAATTAGAATATCGCACCAACAATTGATATTGGCAACCCAATATCAAACAGTTTTGAGATTAATAAAGTACCTATTTCTCTCTCTTGCAGTTTACTAGCATTCTACCATTGTATCTAGTTACCAGTTCCATAATTGTAAAAGTTGCCAATATTTGTGGAGAATACTGTATAATGGTATGCCTTAACCCACCAATGGTTGTGACTACTGTTCCTGCGAAGAAGAAGGAGCTGCTATAATCCCAGTTACTTGGGTTGGTGGAGTTTCCTGAAGGATTCACTCCCTTTTCCCAGGCGTCCAGAATCACCTAAAGCACACACAATTGTAATATCAACATTAGTATACATTCGTACCAAAGCCTCAAAGCCTCATTCCGAAGTGGCACTTGTGCATTGATGCACATAATTAATATACCATTTCATTGTATTTACTATAAGTACTATTTGATCTTGTCCAAATCTCTGGTTAGTGAGTAATCAGTTCTACCTCTTTATGCTCTGCTTCCATACATATTTTCTAGATATGTTTAGATACACGAGAGAAGTCAATCAAGAATTTTATATTAAATCTTTTTCACACTATTGAAATGTGAAACTCATCATAGACCTCTCACCTGGACAAACTTTTCCAAAGCCGGCCCATCCAGACAGGTGTAATTTGCTAAAAAGTGTAACTTCTCCAGCTGAAAATGATTGCGGTTGTTGCTCTCGGCTTCTCTCTCCAGGATTTGGAAAATAGCAGCCCCCACAAGCAGGTATGTGAAGTAGGCCAGAGCCAGGATTGCTGTCCAGCTGACTTTGAGCTGGGATAAAGACGCCATGAACATCCAGATACTAACACTGGTGCCCAAAAAGCCCTCAGCAGAAAGTCATTAAAGAAGACAGACCTATAGCCTTGCATTCAAATTACATTTTCATCAGTTTAAATAATAAAATAAAGTAGTAATCTTCTACGTCTGAAAAGAGCTAAACTTGAACAACATGAGGTGGTCTCTCTGAGTGGGCATCTCTCCAAAGAGTCTGCATCTGAATCCTTGCCTCTTTTCTCTGATTGGTTGAAAGACGATGGATGCCGGGCGATGATTTATAGGTTTCCATGGTAACAGTGCAACCAGTCCCCTCCATTAGTGAGACATCTGGACACACTTTCCAGCAGTTTCCACTAATAAGGAAGCTCAGGCAGCATCTTGTCAGCAGAACACAGGTTAATGTTTGACTAGGCACCTGCTAGCATATTTAAAAAGCAATATTTGTAAGAGCAAAAACACACTATTGAAATATATTATAAGCTCTTTTATTTCCTCTAAATTGGAAGTTCAAGTCATTGCTTAAACTATTTCCATTCAGTTACAAAGAACACATTCGTTTCTGGTGAACTGAAGACATGATATGTGTACAGAATTCTTCTCAATGGCAATAAACCCAAGAGTTATTGAAGTTTTATGAGGTCCACTAATGAAGTGGCTTTCTTAAATATGATTCACTTTAAGAGCTACAGATTTAACCATAAACCAAACATATTATTATTGAAAGCAAAGTTAAAGCATGTTATTTTGAAAGAATGCTTGAGGCTTTTTATTAATGGAATACACACGAATGTCCATGCAGCCCTTTATGGAGCTGTCACCTTTGGCTGGTTCACTGTTGGGCAACTGCAGACCAGGAACAATCCAAATGAGTCAATTCAAATGGATTTAATAATAATAATAATAATAATTATAATAATATATTATTATTGTTTTATTTATTTAAGTTTACTTGGATCTTGCACAAATAGAAATTCCAAATCTAAACCAGATCTAATACATTACTACTGTAGGGCTAAATTAGGGCTAAACCAGGTCTAAAATATTATACTGAAAAGCTAACTGAAGAATCAGAATACCACAGTTTGAGAACCACTGCTATGAGTCTTTCATCTTGATCTGTTTCTAACCTGTCCAGGACACGGTGTTCTCTATTGGCTTGAGAAATCCCACCCACTAAAAGTCGTCATGACAACCAGAAGGAATTTCAAATTTCTATGTTTTTATCATGGTTTTGATGCATTATCAGTAAATATAAGTAAGTGAAATATCAAATTAAATTATTATAGTTCATTATATTACATATTTGTCCTTAGCTTCTCTGGCCTGATGCAAATTTTCAAGATGCTTTTTGTAAAGTGTCAAACAAATTGATGCAAAGCCATTCAAAGAGGCTGCAGTGTTTAGGAAGGTACACAGCAGTGAAGCCAGGGTGACACGATCCTGAGTTCTCATGCAAGGATGGCCAGGAATAGGGAGCGTCCAGGAACAATGACGAGAAGCTTACGAGTGGGATGGAGACATATTTTAGCTGGAAATGACCCATTTGCCCTACTCTTGTACCCTTCTGCCATCCAATTATAAAGTTCTAATTAGTTTTCAAAGTCAACCTAACACCTTGGAAAAGCATCAACTTAACACTGGAATGATTAAAAAAATATATATATATATAAAAATACAAGACATAATCTAAATGTTTTTCCTGGTGTACTTTTGGAGGTTCCTTTTACAGGTGTTGCCTGAGGGGTTTTCATGTTTGTTTTTTTTTAAAACAGTACATTATATGTGATACTATTTATTATTATTCATAGTTTCACCCACAAGAGGTCATTGTTTTATAAAAAGAAAGTTAGGGGCAGCCATTTCATTAATAAATATATTTGTTTCTCTTGGCAGTATATTATTATCATACATAATTGCACAGAATATTAGAAATTACAAAATGTATGATTGATTAAGGTCTTTAAATAAACACAGGAGCCAGCTGTTTTCCAATGGTTCATGCCCAGTCGTCACTCAGTCCCGCTGATATCTAAAGACAACATTTGTTCAGATCAAACCATTCAAATAAAGCTGTGATTTATACCACTTCACATCATGCCACTGAACCACTGTGTGTGTTGGTGGACAGATAAGGAGACACAAGGAAACAGGAAGTGGTGTGGCTAATATGACCATCATCAAACAAATAAAATAATATATTACTTACCTTGCCGTTGGTTTATTCACCATTTCCTTGTGGAGCTAAAAGCTATTTTGGGTGCTGCCCTAAGAATCAAATACATAAGTTAAATACATGTATACTACTTCAGTTGCTAATAATGTTATGTATAAATGCAATTGATTTAGTTGAATATGTCCAATCTAAATTCTATTTTGTATGTATCAAAACAGTAGTAGTTAATAATATGTCTCTACAATGCATGTTTTTGTTATGTTGTAAATACAATTATTACAAGCGACAATGCTAAACTCTTGTAATAACAGATTGTACCACTTGGGGCCATTGTTGTCCTTTTAATATGGAATCACATCCCTGCGATTGAACTTACTGGTTTTCTGCAGGAGTTTCTCTCTGGCTTTTACAAACGCCATAATGTCTGCATCAGCCTTCTTGTCTCCAGTCAGGGGAATAGAAGATGTGATGCTGGTTGTGGATAGATCCCTTGAATACACATGTCACATTGTACTTATATAATACTGTAAATACATAGCACTGCATTGCTTACAGTACATTAAGATATGTGGCCCAAGAGTTCAATATAATCTCTAAATCCAACATTCGACATTACATTACACTAAATGTTTAAAATATTTCAGCTGAAATTTGTCTTTGGTGTAAAAACCAAAAGTGCTCAACATCTTACATCTCATACAGAGGAACCTACACGTAAAGCACTGATTATTTTATTGATGTGGTTAGGAGGGTTTAGGTAAGTCCATAAGTGTTTGATTTGTTAAAGGACTTTAGAGACATTACTTCACAAAGAAATAAAAATTTATGAGCCTGTTCATAAGTGGAAGGAAAACATTGGACTGCAATAAAAACTATAGATCCAGCTTCAATCTATAGATTTACAGCCCCACCATATTGTTTGCACTCATGTAAAATACACACATAATGGTTAAAACATTTGGTTTCTAGCCCCGACAGAACATAAAAGTTTAGTGCTTTTTAGTGAACATGTGGGGCATATGGAAACTCCCCTGCAACTTTATGATACTGACATATTTTATGAATAAAGTAATTCAACCTGTTTAATACCTTGGGTACTACAAGCTTGCATACCTTAATTGTGAAGAGGATTTCATGTCCGAGATTGTTCTTTGAGCGAGTTCATCAACCCAGGCTGGAACAGTGGTCACGGGAGGTCCCCTTTTTGGTGTTGGGCTTCTAGAATATAAACATTAGCTGTTCACATGAGCTACTTTGAAAAATAAAATGTAAATACAAGTTGATTAGGAGAAGGACCTGAAGTTTTCTGCAGAATAGGTGGGGTAATCCAAGTCTCGAACTTGGCCTGTGTTATAATCCTGAACAGCACTGAGTGTGGAATTAGATTCACTATAAATACAGAGAAACAGAAACTCATACTTAATTTATAGGTATAAACTTTTCTCAAACTGGTATATTATAAAGACAACTATGGAAGTGCTACGAGGGCAATGGGAGATCCTTCATATACTGCTATCAGGCATGACATGAACATTAATTCTCCCAAAAGTTTAGCCGAACATGTTACCTGGAGATGGGTGAATGAGGAGATGGTTGCTTGGTCAAAGATGCAGTTTGATTTCTTGCCATAGCTTCTGATTCCTGGTGAAGGCCAAGGAGAAAAAACATAATTATGTTTGTTTGTTTGTTTGTTTGTTTTGTTTATTTGGATCCCCATTAGCCTTTGCCTTGACAACGGCTATTCTTCCTGGGGTTCATTTATAGTTATACTGGATTAAACCAGTGTACGGACTGAAATGTGCACTGTGCAGATTTTCTGATGTGGGGTGGGCCAGCTGCTTGTTTCCATAGAAATTATTATTTTGCCTCAAATGTACCAGTGTGGCATTAAACATCTATTCTGCATTTATTCAATTGCAAGTGTTTTAATACATTGAAAACGGGTTGTGAGTGGGCCTACCTCTCTGGTAACTTGTTTGATCGTGCCACCTGTCTGTCTCCATGGAGTTTGATAAGTTTACTGTCACACTGTGTAACATTCCAGGCAAAGCAATAACATATGCATAGAGACAAACAACCTTCAACCTTCAATGAAAAGAAAATTACCTTTACAGCTCAAAACATCCTACACCAACTTGAGTGTGGGTCTTGATGTCTGACAGTCTTATTTACATACCCACATGCTTTTTCTGTATAAGTAATTAATCTCCATTCAAAGACCTACTGTACATGCTACCCATGTCTGCTAGTCAGATGTGGCTGTGGCTGTAATATGCTGTTCAAACATCCTGCCCTTGTTTGAGGTGAAATGTGGACAACAGATTTGATGATGTAAGTGACTTGCCTCTAGGATGCCCCTCAGGATACAGTTTTGTTAATGCTCTTTGTACTGTATGTCCCCCCTCCAGGGCCTGTGTATTTATGATCCATAACAGACGCAGCACAGGTCAGAACTCTGCCACAAAACTCCCCGAAGATATGCATATCCACTGACACACTAAACAAATGTGCTCACTATGGTTAGCATTTAAAGATGACGAAAAACATTCCTAAATGCACACGCCAAAAACATTAACTAATGCTTAAAACATGCATGCCAGATTAGTTGGGGCACTGTCTCTGGTATAGTTGAGTTTTATGTAGTGTTTTCGTACAGACAGATAAGAGGAAGTAGGGGTCCTTCACCTGCACACGGGATGCCTCCTCACTCCACCATTTCTGGAAGTCCCTCTGGAGTTTGACCTTTGCCCTCTCCAACAGCAGCTGCAGGTGCTCAATCTCAGTGCGTAATGCTTTAAGACGGGCAATAGTGCTCTTGTAGCTAACAACACATATTAAC